CACATCGTAAAAATAGATTACAAAAAAATAGATTACAAAAAAATAGAATACATCAAAAAATAGAATATATCAAAAAATAGAATACATCAAAAAATAAAGTACATCAAAAAATAGGATACATTAAAAAATAGAATACATTAAAAAATAGAATACATTAAAAAATAGAATAAATTAAAAAATAGAATACATTAAAAAATAGAATACATTAAAAAATAAAATACATCATATACAACATTTACAGTGAGTCGTCAGTGTTTCCAGATTATGAATTAACGTTGAAAAAATCCAATTTTTGATGTATGGCCGAAAAAATCGCATTAGTGTCGGCCACTGAACGCTTTCCAATACGCTTTGCTAATGTCCAAGTCAAAACTACAGATATCATTAGTGCGAGAGAGAAACCATTAATAGCAGCGTTGCCATTTTGTACGGCCCATTTTATAAAAAAAATTAGAATTCTTGTTTTAATTGCTTTATGAAGACTTTTTAAACAATATAGATCATGACCCATACAGCACAAAAACATTTCGGAAATATTTTATAACGGTAACATTGAAATATTTGTTGTAATGTTGCCTAAATATTACAAAACGTCTCAGAAATATTTTCGGAATGTTCCTGAAACGTAAAAATATCCTGCTAATGTAATATTTTAGGTAATATTTCAAATATTTAAATTTGAAACCTTTCAGATACATAACATAGTCATATTTTAGACATATATTCTAGTTTGGTTTCATAACTATTATGAAACGTTATAGAAACGTTTCAAAAATATTTCTGGAAAATATTGATTCTTAAACAAACAAACAAACAAATAATTTTTAAACATTATTTCATAAAATATAAAGGCGAATCGCTTCATTTCCACCAATTCCTTTAAATGCACTAACCTGAAACAAATTATAGGTACTTAAAAAATGATTTGACACAAACTATTTGAATAACAGTAGTTTTATTAATATTGCTTTAAATTAACTATAATAAAACATACAATACTTATGCCTTAACAAAACAAGAATATCCTGCTTTTCAATCAGAGCTGTAGAACTAATAAATAAAATTAGGGGGAGGGACAGCAAATGTAGGTTATATTTAGATAAAAATGATACTAAACTTGCCTGTAAATTTGATATACCAAATACTAGTCTCAGTGAATGAGATAAAGTAAATTAACCTAACCTAACTTACAAGCTTTATTTCTGTAAAAAACTCATTTCAATTTCTAGACATATCTTCTTCTCATACAACAGCACAACGTACAAATAACAAAAAAAGCAAGTGGCAAAAACCGACACTAAACACAAACTTCCAATTATTTAAAATATAGGGTTGTCTCTGGACATAGGATGATTTTTTTTTTTTTTTTTTTTTTTTTTTTTTTTTTTTTTTTTTTTTTGATTTATTAGCGGAAATCTTAAGTGTTATTACATTTTCTAGGACATATTGTTTTCCTATTTCCCTGCTATAGGAGTTATCCTCCTTTTCAGGGTGGTCTGCCCTGATTACAAAAGTAACCTAGCTAGCTAATTCCTAATTTTGTGCGCGTGTGTGTGGGACCTGTGTGGCAGGTTTGTTCCCCAAGAATATCGCCAATTTTGCTATTTCCAACCTCATAATTGGACAGGTCCATGTATGAGGTGGGGAATATGATTTAGGAAAACCACAAAACCTAAACCACGATATTGTACATGTGTTTTGATTTTCTAATTAAGTAAATTGGGAAGGTTTATCTTATACTCAGCGGGGCTGATTCCAGCAGATCCTGGAGTTCAGCGGTGAGGGGGAGGTCTTGGGCGTCTGTGAGGAGTTTTAGATTCGGCTGCGGCAATTTTCTTTTCGGTTTTCGAAAGAGGGGGAGTTGGTTGGGTCGCCAAGGGGTGCGAAGTGTGTTTTGGGAGTGTGTGTTTGTGCCTTTCAGCGTGCGAGAGACGTATTGTTTCCTGAGGGACTGGAAACGTGTGAGGATGGGGGTGTTGGGGGTGTTTAAAAAGACTTCTCCGCTGGGGGAGCGATAGGGGAGGTATTGGCATCGTCTGAGGATACGTCTCTCGAGTGTGGTGAGTTTGTGGGACAGGTGTGTGGGAAGTACACCGTAGGGTATAGCTCTGTATTCGGCAACGGGTCGGATGAAGGAATTGTAAGTATGGATGAGGGTATCTGGGTTACAGCGCCCTATTCGCCCGCACAAAGCTCCAAGGAGACTGGCTCGCTTTCGCATCTTATCAAGAGTGCGTTGGACGTCAGAGGACCAGTTAAGAGTACGAGAAAATCGTACCCCCAAATAGTCGACTTCGGTCTGTTGAGCTAGCCTGACTCCTAGGAGATTTACGTTTACGAGTTGGGGGTTCTGAGAGGTTCTTTTGGAATTTGGGTGTTTGAAGACGATAAATTGAGTTTTCTGTGGATTTAATGAGACCCTCCATCTGCTACACCAGTGAGAGTACCGGTTTAACAGATTTTGGGTTCGAATATTTAGTTGGTTAGAATTTTTGGCTACCGAAATTAGAGCTGTGTCGTCTGCGTATATTGAAATAAAATGACTATATGACCCATCTTCTTCTTCTTTATCATCCTCTTCTTACAAAATAAGTCTTGACCCTCTACAACATAATCCGTCTTGTAACCTTTTGTGTAATATTTATAACATATTTCATAAATATTTTCAGTGAAAGATTTAAATAAATTATATTTCAGAAACTTGTGCTTGAAATGTTATATTTTTGAAACGTTTTAAATATTTCTGAAACACTTCTGAAATAATGTGTGTTGTATGGGGAGTTAGGAAAAGTGACAAAGTTTAGAATGTAATAAATTATTAACTTTTTTTGGAACACGCCTCGTACGTCATCATTACAATTAAAATTATTTATTTGTTTGTTGTTATATATGTTGTTATTAGCCCATCAATTAATTGCGCAAGGCCGTCTCTGATGTTATTAAATCATAGACAAGTGTTTTCTCACACATAAGCATAGACACGATAAAATATACATGTATAGATACGTGAACATGTCAGACAGGATATGTAACGCTTCAAATGACTGGTCACGACGTGAAAAGGGAGAAGAAGCAATTTCAATGCAGCGGAAATTCTTAAAAAGGTCTTCCAAGCCAGGGGTCAACTACAATCAGAACTAAACTAAGTTGTGTACACTCGTGGTAAAAAGTGTTGCTTTAGAAGGACCAACGCACTTACATAATTTTTTTTTGTGAGTTTTAATAAAGTAGTCGCGTGCCAATAATAACAATAAATATTTATAATTTCATTAGATTCAAGATATCCATGATACTATAAAAAGAAGGTATGATATATGAAGACTAGATATCTCTAGTCTTCATAGTATGATATTACGTAGATTGATACTACGTCACGGTGACGTATTGTGGTGCAGAGGCATGATGGCTTTCATTAAAAAGCCATCTTCCGCACTACATTTTATATATTTGGTACCAAACTACGTCATACACAATTTCCCAGTATAGGGTAATCAATGTTTTAATTATGCACAAGTTGTATTTAAATAACTACCTCTGATATTTTTGTTTTTTTACCTATGCTTCTATTTTTGTTATGGTAAATAAATTGTATTAATAGAATTCCACTTTAATAAAAAATTACTCGAGCGTTCTAGGTGGTATGGCAATCTTCAGCATCAACTGGCAACGCTGATATTATTTGTTTCCTGCTCGCTCTAATGCTGTCTCTAATTTTTAGATGCAGTTGTGCAAAACGTATTGGAAAACGTTCTGTGGCCTATACTGTAAATATATTTATTATCAGTGTATTAAAATTATTGAAGTTAAGTGAACATTTCTTTAATATCTCAGTTCGTTTTTAAAAATATCTTTTATTTAAAAAACCACAAAGTTTTTTGTGGGCAGTTCTGACTAAAGGTTAAATGAGTGTCAGCAATATAAAAAAGTCTTGTTTCACAGTTGACAAGCATGGTCATCCTTATAGTGAAATCAATACCCTTATTGCAGTGCATAAAATAAGCTCTCATAAGAAATGCCTTGCATTTTTAAAACATCCCTAAAGTTTTTTGCAAGTTTAGCAAGTAACAGTCGCTGAGCTTCTTAAAATATTATCTGCCTATATTGAAAAGAGAAGTCAACATTTTAGTAACGAAAATGTTGACTGTATATATTATAAATAGTTGAAGTTTTTTACAAGAATTTCTTCATCACATGGAAAAATGAGTAATCAATTGTTTAATAGTATATTGCTTCACTATCGAAACCAAATTAATTTTCATGCACCCCCGCTTACGATTGTGGACCCCCTTTTTTATTACGCCCAACGTAGACCTACGTCGAGTCTCCCGTGGACCCCTGGGGGTCCACCTGGACCACTTTGGAAAATACTGTTCTAGAGTTATCGTGCCGGTGCAGGTGCACATACGCACAGACGTTAGATGAAATATTTTTTTTTTCGTTTTCGGATTTAGAATGTTCGGAAACGTATAGAAAAGTGTTAAAAAGTGGGGGTAAGAAAATTTTTTCATGCAATTTTAGTAAAAATAAAGCCGAAGTTTTCTCGCAGAAACCTGATATATACGTACTGCCTAACTTCGGTTTAATTTTTTCTATTGTACATTAAGCAACTTAGTTTTATTCCCCAGAGCATCTAATTTTCACGGACGTTCCAGAGCTTGACCGGAATTCCAAATAGCAAGGATTAAATTTATCGTGGCGAATTTGGAATCGCAATTAGTGTGCATTCATATTCCCTAATTCTAACATAAATTTTTTCACTGTTTTAAATCGTCGTTGATACTAAATAGTACGTTTCTTGAAGAATTTGAGTATATAAAAGTGAGTTTACTTTCTGTTTTTCGTTTAGTAAATGTCTATAAAATATTGTTTTTTTATAGTTTTTTATAGTTTTTTAGTATCTACATCTACGTTAGATATGTACTGTATCCTTCATTATACCTATAATTTGATATTCGTCTAATCTTCTTTATAATTAACACAACATATTATTAACTTCATCCTTATCTAAATATTCTCTTACCTGATCTTCTGATCGTGGTAGGTTTGGTTGCTCTTGGTTCTCTCCTGCTCCTCTTGTTAATGTGTTTGAGTATATTCTTTTTCCTTCTCATTTGATTGATGTCATATATTATCATATTCTCGTTGATTTTCTTCTTTTCCTGAGAAGTTTGTTTATGTTTTTTATGTTTTACTTTTTTTGCCTGTTTTGATTTTTTTAGATTTTGCTTACGTATGAATAACGCGCCAGCTGTTATTGCAATTCAGTCGTCTGTGTGACTTTCTAATAGCGTGATTTCAATAGCTTTTCCTCGCGAGCATATCCCAGAACTTTTATTAATCTAACTCAACGGGCTATAGGGATACGTCTAATTTGCAGGAGCATCGTGGATATCATGTAGGATAATCGATACGAGAAGACATGAAGGTGTTTGTGTTGAAGTGTGTTTGTGTTGAGGTGAATGGACCGTATTGGATACATTTAGGGATAAATTAATGTAAGTTTTTTATTTTTGATATTTTTGGTCATGAAAAGTTATTGGAAAGTTTTTTATTTTAACGACTTCTATACACAGCTAAAAAAGTATTTTTTAGGATTTACAATATATATTTTAAATTGCTTTCAAATGAGGTATTACTTACCATAAGGTCCCGGTTAAAGTTATTGGGCACAGTGGCCCTGTGACGTCATCTGTTACGTCACCTGTTACCACTAGTAGAAAGCTTATAATTTTTTTATATTCACCTTACAAATTTCATTAGTCCAAGTATCACCGTTCAAAATATACGGGGAGGAAGGGTCTTTTGAGTAATACACTGTACCTATAGTTTAATTATAACGGAATCATCAACTTTTGTGTAACAATTTATAAAACTGGTTGATTTTAAAAATAAAGTATATTGGTAATTGTATATTACATTACGAGTGTGGAAAATCACTTTTCACACAGGTGATGTACAATAATTTTCCTACGACCACAAAATAATTTCATCAAAAAATGTAAAACCAGGCTATTATTATAATAATTAAAATGTATTTAAAAAAATAATCAACAATAATCGTATTTATTCAATTTTCATATTTTCTAAACAAAAAAAAACTAAAAAAAAATAAAAAAAAATTCTGCCCCCGCAAGGATTTGAACGCGGTCGCTCGCCAGGTCTCAAATGGCAAAGTTGATAAAGTGATGCTCTAACCATCTGAGCTAATAGGCCTTGTGTAAATTGAAGGATCTAATCGGTTATGTATTTAACCATAATAAAAAGCAAACATAACTTAGTTATTTTAAAATTATTTTAATAATAATTGTTAAAGATAAATATCTAGGATCTAATTTACAACAATTTCAATAATTTGACAATCATATCGATTTTAGTATTAATATGGACATTACATAGATCAAAATAGAAATGACGCGTTTGACATTTTGTGACAGCTGATGTGGAAAGTAGAATATTCGTACACGGCTGGAAAGTAAATTCTTATTCATACGCGTGTGATATGGGGCACTTTCCATAGAACTATATAATATAATATGTGTCACTTTCCTAAGTGATCGTAGGAAAAATTAATTTTGATGTTATTATAATGACAGACAGATATGTCCGTTGGACGTCAAAATACTATTAAACTTAAAATTGTGTTAAAAAACGGACGACGTTCATTTGGTATCGATATGTAACTGTCAAATTAATGTTCTTAACGGACGTATACTGAACGTTTCCGAATACGACTATGGACGTTCTAACCCTTAAAAGGATCCAAAATGTGAGCTGGCCAGATATGTATATTAATTTTTGAGAACTTTTACTTAATATAAGCTAGTTACTGATAAAGCGCTTTGGTCATAAATTAATTTTACTATCAAATGGATTCAATTTTTTTTTAATAATTTTTCATGTTCTAAAAGTTCATCAAAAATGGGTAATACAATCCAAATATTTTAGTTTTTCGGTGCTGATAGATTTCGCGCACTGCTTTATCCCATTATTTCTGAAATGTTTCAGAAATATTTCAAACGTTTCAAACATATAACATTTCAAGCACAAGTTTCTGAAATATTTTAGTTAAATATTTCACTAAAAATGTTTCTGAAACATGGTATACATGTTACACAAAAGGTTACTAAACGGGTTATGTTGTAAAAGGCGAACAATTATTAAAGCATTTCTGATTTGTAACAAGAAGATGGGATACGCAGTTATTTTATTTCATCCTAGGTTCTTGTCCAGCGACCAGCTAGAAACAAGCCTATATTCTAAATAATTATAGATTTGAGTGGTCGGTTTTTGATATTTTGCGTTGTGCTGTTGTTATATGGGAAGCAGTATTTGTCTTTAGAGATTGAGGTGACAACTACATAAATAATGCTTGCTTAGGCGAAGCTTCATGTTTTTGCTTAGGCATGAGTATTGTTTTATTATAGTTAATTTAAAACAATATTATTAAAACAATTGTTAATCAAATAATTTGTATAAATCCTTTTTAATTACCTATAATTTGTTTCAAATTAGTGTATTTAAAGGAATTGGTGGAAATTAAGCAATTTGCCAGTTTTGGGGCTGTGCCAGTAAAAGTAACATCCAAGTTATTCAAATTTTCCAGAATAAAGTATTAAGGAACATCGTCAATGCATCCTGGTCCTGCCGCAATACTGTTCTTCATAGGGACCTTAAAGTGGAGACTGTTGAAAATACAATACAAAAATTTGCCAGTAGTCACCAACAACGACTACTCCAACATGGAATCCTTGAGATTATCCTGCTCCTCAACAATGCCAATCTAATAAGAAGACTCAAAAGTACCAGGCCTTTTGAGTTAGTTCAGTGATGTTAGATTAAAGCAGAGGATAGTGTGGTTAAGTATTATACGTTAACGGATGTGTAACTAAATAATTAGACTCTAAAGTACACTAGTGAGTAGAATATTAATTTATGAAGTTTTTCATCCCTAGATAAGTTAGGTAAAAATAAAATTGCTAATTGATGTTAATCATTATATTGTAATAATCGTAAATGTTTCTTTACTTGGGGCATTTATTAAAAAAAACCTAGTTGTTTCTAATTAGTGCATTTAAAGGAAATGGTGACAAGTATTAGAAATTAAAAATTTAAAAAAACCGACTTCAAAAACGTGCAGATGCCATCACCACATCTTAACCAAATTTATATGGGACCACCCCTGAGGTACCCGCTTACTAACAAAAAAGAATCATAAATCGGACAAGGTGGTAAAGCATTATCGCTAAACATACATAAAAAATGAAGAGTTTGAGGATTTTCTCATGGACTCAATTATTAGATTTTGACTAAATTTATATGGGACCACCCCTGACGTACCCCCTTTATAACAAAAAAAAATCATTGAAATCGGACACCGTATTAAAGAATAATCGCTGAACATACATAAAAAAAATATATATCGGAACGAATTGATAACCTCCTCCTTTTTTGAAGTCGGTTAAAAATGAAGCAATTCGCTTCTATATTTTATGAGATATTGTTTAAAACTTATTTATTTGTTTGTTTAAGAATCAATGTTTGAGTTTTGTGTATTTTAAATAAACATGTATAATTTTAAATGTTTGTTTTAGTCTAATATTTTAGAAAAAAAACTAAAACATATTTCTGAAATATTACTATTTAATATTTCTAAATGATTTCAAATTTTCATTTCAGAAATATTACTGTTAAATATTATGTTTACAGAACATTTTTACGTTTCAGGCACATTTCAGAAATATTTCGTAATATTTATACCTCGATTTATACATTACAAATGTTTCAATGTAACATTTTTGAAATATTTCCGAAATATGTTTGTGCTGTATGGGATGTTACCTCGACCATTTTTAACCACTTTGGATATCCTAGAAGGAATACATGATACCTGCCATCCAAAAGTGTACCTACAAGTTTCATTTGGCCCACACTGTAGATATAATTAACAGAATATTTAATGCATATCTACATATATGGTGGCACCTACAAAGTAATGTATTGTACCAACCCAAAAGCCACGCCTTTTTAGTAACCCTCTGTTAATCCCCCATTATTCAGTAACAAATATAGCGTGTGTTTGATTTCGTCTAGACTTTAATTTGTCAATAATGCAAATTGAACCACCACAGAGACTAATAATTTATGGCGACTAAGAGGGAGCCGACTTAGAATGGGGATATTTAAGAAGGAAATAACACAAGGAATTGAACGTGAAAGCTCGCAGAGTCTAGCAGCTTAAATTTTTAAGCACAAGTCTAAACGATGAATTACAACCGCCGTAAATCAGTCACTCTGAATTTAAAGAATGTTGGAAGAGGATATTTTAACCTTTGAGAGTTTCTATTTGTGTACATACCGACAAATTTGTATTTAATGTTACTTATAGTGTAGAATTTCTTACTTCTTACAGTCATGGTTTCAGTGATGAGCTGAATAGAAAATAGAATAAGCGATGCAATATTTGTATACAGGGTGTAACTAAATAAGTGTAAAACATTTAAGGGGGTGATTCCTCATCGAAAAAAAGATAGGATCTTTCATATAAAGAAACTTCATTGGAGCATCCCTTGTTAAGATACAGCCCCTTAAAGGGGGTACATTAAATGTGTTTAACAATTTTTTTCACAAGCACTAAACAAGTTACAATATTGAAATTAACCTGTCATTTTCTACTACCAAAAAGACACTTAACCAGTAATTTATTTGGTTTACCCCATGGTTGTAAGGGGTGGAAAACGCAACCCCTAAAATTTCGTTTCAACGTAACTTTTTGTCTTATTATTTGTTTACCATTTAAAATTTTATTTCCGATAGCCTGTTTCATTCTAAACAAAAAATGTTTCTTTAATTTTTTGCCCAAAATGAACCAGTTCGCAGCAAAAAATTATTTTACGAACAACTACAGAGATACATCATCATAAATTCGAACTGGATTTATTGTTATTTTGTAGTTACTACCTGCATTAAATGATTAAAAAGGGGAATAATCAAAACTAATTTATTAATAACAAAACATACAACATGTAGAAATCATAGTAAATGTTCAATAGGTCTACCTTCAGATATTACGCATGCGTCTAGACGTCGGCGCATTGAGCCACGTATTCGCTCAAATAATCCTGGAGTCTCTCTAATTACCCTGCACGCATGCGGTGACGATGCGGTTTCTTAAGTCCTCTACATTGCGAACAGGAGTACGATAAACCAAATGCTGCAAATGGCCCCAAGTAGAGAAATCGAGAGGATTGAGATCCGGGGATCGAGCGGGCCAATTATGTGGTCCTCCTCGACCTATCCACTGATTTGCATATGTTTCAGTTAAATGCTGACGTGCTACTTGACTAAAATGGGCAGGAGCCCCATCATGCATAAAAAACATCCCTTCTGACGCCCAAAGGAACTTCCTCCAGCAGTACGGGATGCACTTCTCTTAAAAATTGAACGTATGCCTCACCATTTAATCGAGGAGGTAGAAAATGAGGCCCAATTAAATAATCACCAATAACTTCGGCCCACACGTTAAGAGAAAAGTGTTCTTGATGGCGAGTTTCGACAATAGCGTGAGGGTTTTCATCAGCCCATATGTGGTAATTATGAAAATTAATAATCTTGTCCCGAGAAAAACTACATTCGTCTGTGAATTCGATCGTCTTCAGAAAGTCACGATTTCTTCTAATCATTTCCAGCATCCAATTGCAAAATTCAAGACGGTTCAAAAGTCTCGCGGTAACAGTGCCTGTACTCGTTGCAGATGGTAAGGGTATACGAGATGTTCCTTTAGAATTGGAAATACCGTCATATGATCAACATTTAGCTGGAAAGCAATCTTTCTAGTACTGGTAGTAGGTTGTTCTTCAATAAAATTAAGTAGTGCTTCCTCAAGCTGTGGTGTTCTTACTTCTCGATGGCGACCACAATCGTGCGTTCTTTTGTTGAATGAACCATATTCTCGTAATCGTTGATGAAGTCGGGCAAATATTCTATGTGAAGGATGCTGCCGTTGAGGATACATTTCAGCATATCTTCTAGAAGCTTCTAACCCATTCCCCTGCGACAGACCGTAAACGTAATGCATATCAGCCATTTCCTCATTCGTGTATGCCATTTTAATAACAAGTGAATTATTAAAGTAACAAATTACGAACAGAACAACAATACACAATTAGTATTACTTCAATTTCAAAAATTTGACAGCTTGATTTCAATGTAATTGTCAGTATCGCTAATAGCGGCCTACTAGATAAATTAGTTTCGTATTTTCGTTTTATGGCGATATCTATCTTGTTCGTAAAATATTTTTTTGCTGCGAACTGGTTTATTTTGGGCAAAAAATTCAAGAGACATTTTTTGTTTAGAATGAAACAGGCTATCGGAAATACATTTTTAAATGGTAAACAAATAATAAGACAAAAAGTTACGTTGGAACGAAATTTTAGGGGTTGCGTTTTCCACCCCTTACAACCATGGGGTAAACCAAATAAATTACTGGCTAAGTGTCTTTTTGGTAGTAGAAAATGTCAGGGTAATTTCAATATTGTAACTTGTTTAGTGCTTGTGAAAAAAATTGTTAAACAAATTTTATGTACCCCCTTTAAGGGGCTATATCTTGACAAGGGATGCTCCAATGAAGTTTCTTTATATGAAAGATCCTATCATGGAGGAAGGATAATTAAGAGTTGCCGTTTCTTTGTATAAATATGGCAACATGTTTGCCTTCAGAGACATGTGGGATAGTTTTGTGCAACTAATACTCAGTCGGTAATATAAAAAGCTGTAATGCTATTTTAATTTGAAAATTGGCGGGCCATTGAATTTACTTCGACAAAACATAAGAATTTTACATTTTTAATAGCATTTTTTTAACACGCATCTCATGCGTGTTAAAAAATGCTAATAAAAATGTAAAATTTTATGTTAACACGACAATTTTAAACAATATATTATCTCTCGACAAATTTCTGACACTATTTTATCTCTCAAGCAGTTTTTGAATAAGATATTTTAATACATTTTGATACTCTTTTATCTCTCGAACAGTTTTCAAATCTTTTTTAATCTCTTGAGCTATTTTGAAACAATATTTTATCTCTCGATAAATTTCTAACAGTATTGAATCTCCCAAGCAATTTTTAACAACTTTTTTTTATCCCTCGAGCAATGTTTGTACAATTTGAACACTATTTAATCACTCGAGCAATTTTTAACAGCCTTTTTTTACCTTTCAAGCTCGTGTAATTTTTGAGCAAAATTTTTGAAAAAGGTTTTAACACCTTTTGATAATATTTTATCTCTCGAACAGTTTTTAAACAATTTAAAACAAATTTCTAACAGTATTCTATCTCTCGAGCAAATTTTAACAACTTTTTTATCCCTCGAGAAATGTTTGTGTAAAATTTTTTGTACAATTTTTAACACTATTTAATCACTCAAGCAATTTTTAACAGCTTTTTTACCTTTCAAGCTATTTTTGAAAAATATTTGATCTCTCGTGCAATTTTTGAGCAAAATTTTAATAATTTCTTACACTATTTTATCTCTCGAGCAATTTTTATCAACATTTTTTACCTTTCTAACAATTTTTAAACAATATTTTATCTCTCGAGAAATGTTTAACAGTATTTTTAATCCTCGAGTAATTTTTGAATAAGATTTTAATAACTTATGAGTCTATTTTATCTCTCGAACAGTTTTTAAACCTTTTTTATCTCATGAGCTATATTTAAACAATATTTTATCTTTTGATAAATTTCTAACATTATTTTATCTCTCGAGCAATTTTTAACAACTTTTTTATCTCTTTAGCAAACTGCTCAATATTTTAACTCTCGATAAATGTTTAGCAATGTTTTATATCTCGAGCAATGTTTGTACAATATTTTATCTCTCGAGCATTTTCTAATATTATTTTATCGTTCGAGGAATTTTTAAACAATGTTTTATCTCTCGAGAAATTTCTAATAGTAGGTATCTCTTGAGTCAATTTTGAACAATATTTTTTATTTTAACAAATTTTTCAATAGTATTTTATCCCTCGAGCCATTTTTAAAAAATATTTGATCTCTCGTGAAATTTTTTAAACAATGTTTTATCTCTCGAGAAATGTCTACTATTTTATCTCTGAAATAATTTTTAACAACTATTTTAATTTGGAAACATACGCTGAAAAAAGTACTAGATTTTGTTTCGAGTGTACTAGAGTACCAGATTCTCAGAGAATGTACTAGATCTAGTACAATTGTACTAGACTGGCAACACTGGTACCTATGTTATAATTCTTGTACATTTTCAACAATAAAGTAAAAAAAATAGGTTGGACCTTTAATTGCAAAGCAGGATACTCATATGAGAAGTTCCATAGGTTCTAAGCTTCGCCTAGCTGTTACGTTAAGATATTTGGCAAGTGGCAATTCATATAAGTCTTTGGAATTTCTTAGTCGAATATCATGAATTACAATAGGAAATTTCGTACCAGAGGTATGTAATGCAATTATCATTGTTTTAAAGGATATGTATTTAAAGGTAAGTTCTCATTTTAAATAAAGCAATATTATAACTATTACTGAAATTTTAATGAAAGTATTATTACAATTAATTTATGAAGTCGAACTTAAAATATGCAAAGTAAAAGTAAAAAAAAGTAAAACTAAAATAGAACAAATGAAAATGTAAATAATGAATACTTTAATTATTAAGTGTTCTTCGAAGTGCTTTGCTTATTACATCTCCAGTTTCAGCATTGTCTCATACGTCTTCTCTGTCATATGGATTTAAATTTTCATATATTATCTTATTATTTGATATGTCTTCTGAATCATACTCTTTTGTGTATTCATATAATGGCGTATTGAGTTGAGGTGTCATCAGATAAATAATTTGTAATATTAGTACTATAATTGTAAGTTGATGGACGAGAGAGTCTAGAAGACGAAACAGATTTGGATTGATGTATCATTAACATTCTTTTATTTACCATGTTACTAAATCCATTTGTAATTTTATAGCATCCTACATCGAAATACTTTTTAATTGAGAAGCTAATAGATTACCAAAATTATCAAAAACATCTTGATCTCCAAATGTTGCTAATTTCTTTATAGCATCATCTACAGATTTCTCTGTAGACATACATGTCATCATTGTCGATTTTTCTTTTTTTAACCTGTGATATTCGAGGAGTTCCAACTAATGAGGCTGTTGCAGATATCTTTTGTGGTACAGTTTGTATGGTACGCTGAGAGGATGTAGCTATATTTGTAATATCTGTATTTTGTGTATTTAACTGCGAGTTTTCTTCGACCTAAAATAAAACGATAATTGTACTAATAATAATGTTTGTAAATCTTTTTTAAGGTTCCGTCTACTGAGGAAGAATGGACAAAAATTGCTTTTGAGTTTGAAAAAAAATGGCAATTTCCACATATAATAGGAGCTTTGGATGGCAAGCACATATGCATTATGGCATCCCCAAGGTTACCATAGTATTGTGCTTCTCGCACTTGTAGATGCAAACTACAAATTTGATTATATTGATTGTGGAGGAAATGGTAGAATTTCTGATGGCGGAATATATAAAAATAGCTCACTATATAAAGCTATTAATGTTAATAATGCATTAAATATTCCTGCACCTGAACCTTTACCAGGTAGAAGGACAAATATGCCGTACTGCATTATAGGTGGTGATGCCTTTGAGCTAAGTCACAATTAATTTACTAAAGCCGTATCCAAGATCCACAAATTTATCAATAAAGCAACAAATTTTTAATTATAGGTTATGTCGAGCACGCAGAGTTGCCGAAAATACCTTCATTATTCTTTGTAGCAGATTTTGAATATTCACAAGGCCAATAAACACTAACTTAAAAACCACAGAATCCATTATTATATGTTGCTGTGTGTTACACAATTTTATGCGCCCAGAAACTATAATAAATACAGATAAAACAGTGTCTGATATATTACCACATACTAGCCAGGAAGGCAGCAATTTTTCATCGAATCTTGCTCGACAGACACGAGAAGAGTTTGCAGAATATTTTGTCAATGAAGGAGATACCGACTTTCAATAGACTAGAATATAATAAATGGAACAAAATAAATAAAATAAATGTTATATAAATATAAAATAAATAGTTAAAAGTACACTTACCTCTATTATTTGGGATTCCAAATTAGATTTAGTTTTGCGGGCAATTATCACATCGTTTAAAAACGTCATATGCTCATACAATGGCACTAACGGTGAGTAGAGATCATCTGTACCAGAACCTGTTTTGTGGCTATCCAAAATTTTCTTTTTTTCCATCAAGTACGTAGATCGTATTGAAGTTATTTTCTTTTTGATTATTTCCTCTTTGACAAACAAATTTTTGGCAATATCAGTAATTGCAGCTTTTCTTTTAATATTATTTTTATATTCAGCCGACTTAATGTTCCAAAGACATTCATTTTCCCGATATAATTCAATTAATTCTATAATTTTTTCATCTGAGAACGTAATGCGTTTGACAGTTTTAACAAATTTCACCATTTTATTTTAACCTAAATACGACTGCTATAACAAAAAGTAGAAATATTTCTAGTTATAACAGTAACTGGTATAACATTCAGCCTCTATAACAGTGGTATGTTTCACAGCTAACATTGTGATCATGCCTATCTGACAGTCGCTGCTATAGCACTCAACTGCCATGTGAAACTGCCGTCGCTTTAAATTTAATAAACTGCCATAAGTTTTTTGGTTTACAAGTGATTGAAGTTTCAATTTGCTTAAGATAGTTCTTATAGTCGTGATCAATTAAGTATTTTGAACGTCCACGTAACAATTTAAATGTTATTGTGATACTTTTATAAACACATGTTTATCATACTTATCATTAGTAATTCTATACAAATTTTATTAGTTAACGATGGATTTTTATTCGATTAATAAAATTTTGAAACAATTCTTGTATTTAAACCTCTTTTCAAAAACAAGAATATAAAAAAATATTGACTCTACTTGATGAGACATCACCTAAGCAATGTTGTGCGCACCTCGGCCGTATGATCTTTTTTGGCCTAACCAGAAGTTGCTTGGCTTCGGCTACGCCTCAGCCGCAAATTTCTGATTCGACCAAAAAAGATCAATTTACGGCCTTGTTACATAAAAAACTATTTTTGACAGTATGCAAAACATTTAAATTTTTTTATCTTCTACTATCTAAAATATTTTTTTTAAAAGATCTAAAAATCATTGCAGGACATTTTTTCTTACGATTTTATACATGGATTTCTACTTCGTTTATCTTGTCCGTACAGCTTATATAGTGATTTGTAATATAAAGAAAGACAGACGACTCTCATTCTAATTCTAAGCCTAAAATAACCCGCCTATTAATAAAAATAAGGGTTGGACCCGTATTCGAAATACTAAAATAAATGAAAGTGAACCCAGTCATTCCGACCGCGCCTAAAATTTGGACAATTCTTAGGGTATCGTCCTATCTTCCGTACCTTCCAGGGGTCACCGGGTTAATGGCTGAGGCCTGAGGCCGATCCGCTGCTTATGTGGAACATGCAGGCGTCGGGAAATCCGAAAATCTCCTGTATTGCCGTCATATGTGGAGCAGCTCCTTTTTTGTTAGGGGTAGAAAAACGGTGTTTAAAACATCATTCGACAATAAAAAGTTTAAGCTTAATTTTTTTTCTACAATCACTATCCAAAATAGGCTTTTGCGCTTTGAAACTTAGACTAGATAATAAAAAAGTAACTGCAAAGTAGATGTTTTCTGCAAGCTGTCATAATTTGACATTATGAACGTTTATGAATACTAGAGAGAAGGAGACGAATCGGCAATGGTCAAATTTTAAATTTCCGTCCTTCTTTTTATAAAGTTCGCGAAATTGACTGTAGTTGGCGTATCGAATAACAGCGGTATCAATTTTCTATGTAAGTCAATGCAAAATGAAGTGATGTTTTAAAAAATTGGTGAAAAGAATCAAAATAATGTGAAAAAAATTACCTGAGTACAAGTAACATGAGTGAGTAAAAACATCAAAGCAAGATTTACGTCGTTCCAGATTGTAAAACAGGATACAAATCAAATGTAAAACTAAAAAAAAAAACACAAGGAAAAATCAATTCAGTCTTTTTAAAGCTTCTAATGTAAAAAAATAATGTATTTATGTCTAAATATAATATTTATTGTAAACTAGTCACAATATGTATCTTACGGAGTTTAGTTTATTTTATTACAAGTTTCTATAATATAAAATTTTACAGTCATACATCCTGACTTACAAACAACAATAATTATACATTACATTTAACTTACTAGAAAAGAAAATCTATTTTTTATAGAGTTTTAATGTTAGATAAAGAGTTGCTACTGTTATTTTTTTTAACTCGAATTGTGTCATTGTAAATGTTTTTTATAGTATACTAAAACGCTTAGAACAGTGGCAGCATATATATCCTTTCTAGTACTGATAAAGCACTTTCTAGAGATGATGCTGTTCTATACTTTTTAGAAGATATCAAATATTTTTACTGATGGTACTGTTAGAAAAATAAAAATGGGAAAGCTGAAATTAAAGGATGAGGTAATACCATGTACATTTCCAAGTCTCCCTTTATACTAAAACTATATATACGTTCAATTCAAAAAAAAATTGCCACAAAATTTCACACATTTCACAAATTTCAGTATTTAACAAACCTTTTCGAATTTAGTCATACCGTCATACCTACCTAATTTGTATTTTAAATAAATAAAATTAAATAATTTATCAATTAAAACATGCAAGACTTATTTAGAAATAAATACAACAGTATGTTCTGTGCTTTATTTAGCTAAAAACAAGTTTATTTTTATTATTTTGACAAAATTATGTATAATTCCCATAAGAAGCCATGTATTTTGAACAACTTATGCAGTACCAGCACCCATGCAGTTAATTATAGAAGCCCAATTAGCATGCGTTTTTTGGGACCGTATTTTGAGTATGCCCATTCGTCTCCTTATCCTTAGTCTTCATAATAATACCGTTCCTATGCGGAAAATAACTTTGGCGCATGCCTAATTTTATTTTGTGGATAAAATAGAACTAGTAGGTATTTTAACACAGACTATAGCCTAAATAAATATTTTAATTAGCTTCCTAATATTTTAAATCCTCCATCAGTATTGTTCGTAAATAAGTAAATAATTAAATCATAAATAATTACCGACATATTAAAAATATATAGTATGTAACCTGTACTCACACCACATACTTTGATTACTATACGGGGCAAGAGAGAGGTCCGACACGCCCAACATAGGGCGCGGCCATTTTGAACCCTATGACACAGTTTATAACTAAAGAATCAGATCGCTCACTCTGCGTCGACACTTTTGATGTCAATGTTCCAGTTTATATACTGCGCAACTCGGATAATACAATATATGACAACCGCCTATAATAAAACAGCAGTCTTCTGCGTATCCTGGATTTGTATCCCTGGAGTGGATGTTATTTTGGAACTTTGAACTGGTCCGAGTGAGCTAACTGATTCTTTAGCAATAAACTGTGACTCCAAAAATAATATTCACTGACACTGACAGCAGCAAGCAAAATATCAGGGCTGGAACTCTGTGTCATGTAGAATTCTACTTATCGCTTTCTACAATGGAATCGATTACTTTCTTTTGTGATAAATACGTTATCAACCGAACGGGAAATATCGTAATGTGGTTTCTTATGAAACTAGTTATCCTGTAGTAAGTATATACTCGTTGGTTTTCCGCTATGTTACAAAGAGTGCCACAAAAGAATCTATTGTATAAAGCGATAAGTAGAATTCTACATGACACAGAGTTCCAGCCCAGGTGCGTTTTAATAAACCCGCTTCTGCTTCCGAAATTGTCGGTTTAGTCGTTTCAACCTGTCAGATTAATACAAGAAAACCGACAATTCTGAAGCAGAAGCAGATGATTAAAACGCACCTATTAAAAATATTGCGCCAAGATGTAGGCAACACGTAATAAGGGTTCAAAATGGCGGAGTTTTCTATCTCCTTTTAAAAGGCACTCAGGATACCTATTCTCTAACTCATGGGAGCACTCCCACACTCCCATGCTCCCATACTCCCATGCCAACGTTGCCAAGTCGACAGAATAACTTTGATCTACTATTTAAGGACCGATCCACCGTTGTGTTAAACGAAGTTTAAAATGACATTTTTACATTAACAATGTCATTTTAATCTCCGTTTAACTCAACGGTGGAATCGGCCCTTAGTAGTTCAAATTTGCTTTGTGATAAATACGGACCTAATCTGGCAAGCCCGCAATTCTCCCTCCCATAGTATAAAATCTGACCTTACTACGCATGTACCTGGGCTAAAAATGAGTAAGCACGATATACCCACCTAAGAGTAAGAGAGTAAAATATATTGGAGCGCTCCCATGACTTAGTGAATAGCTATCCTGAAAGCTGTGCAATGCGACCATTCTCCGTATAGTAAAAGAAAATCAAAGTATGTGACTTACACGTAGTAATAGGTAGGCAACACAACATACAAACAACTTAGGAAACAAGTAGGTCGATGTCAAAGAAAGCAGCAATTAGTGTATTGAAATTTTTAGTAAATATCAAGTTAAATAAGGAGATGAAGCCAAAAAACGACATCATCTTAAAATCTTCAGGAAAATCAAGCTCTACAAAGAGATGAAGCCTATCTGAAAGGAATCTGATTAAAAATGGGGGGGGGGGCTAAGAGGATTGCTAAATTTTAAAGAGTATAATATACAGGGTGTTTCATCAAGAATCAGTCACAGAACAACTGAAGATTTTTTGATTAAAAATAAGACGATTAAACGAAACATACTTAGATAAAATATAAATGGTTTTCGAAATGCAGGATGTTAAAGTTGAAAATTCAAAAATTATTAATGGCCATATTTTTTTTATTTCTAAGTATAATTTTACTAAATTCAGTAAACATTGTTGGTTTCATAAGATACATCTATCAGTAAAACAATCTGTTAAATAAACTTTGCCAGTGGCGTACAGCATGGGTAAGTAACACCTAAATTCCTTCTAAATTTTACCACACTCTCCAAACATTTATTTGGACTATAATTTTGATTTTTTCTTGAATTTTAAATGAGTCATGTTCTCTTGTTTGAAATTTATAAAGAAATCCAAAATTACAAAAAATAAATTAAAATGATGAATGTCCACCTTTGAGTGTGAATTTTTCGAAAACCAATCATTTTATGAGTTCCCAACAAGAGTACATCATTTATTTAAAAAAACATCAAAATATATAAAAGTATAGTCGAAATAAGTTTTTGGACAGTAGCGTAAAATTTAGAGAGGATGAAATTGTTACTTATCCGTATGGTACGCTACTCGTAAAATGTATTTAATTGATTTTTTTGCTGATAGGTCTATCTTATGACACCAACAATGTTTACCGAATTTAGTAAAATTATACTGAGAATTAAAAAAATGATAGCCATTAATAATTTTTGAAGTTTTAACTTTAACACCCTGTATTTC